GAGGTCTGAATAATGGGCGCAATTTGAGATTGTTGTCAATTTTTCAAATAACTGACAAACATATCGTAGTAGATTGTTCTCAGACAGCGACCTCTGAGGATATACTGCCAACCGGGCTGCTTAGTACAGCGGGGAGAAAATTACAGTCTTAAAAACACTCTAGAAAAGTACAGCCATTTAGTACTGAAAGCTCTCCTCATGGGACACATTCAAGTTCATCCGTTAAAGTGTCATGCATTGACGTTTGATTTAGTGTGAGTTTGTAAGGTTTAGGCCACAGCTGTAAAGGTTCACCGTGACATGATTGGTGAGTTTAAGATCCAAGCAGCATCCATCAGACTTTTAGTTGGAAATCAACTGTTGGATGGTACAGTGAGATCATTTTTCAAAAGTCCGCCGCGGTCTGTCTGCAGGTTTGTCTTCGTTTTGCTCCCGTCTGTCTTTAGTTTTTAAGTTCACCACCTACAGCTTAAACCTTAAGATCTGGTTTCTCACTTTCCCTGTGTGCATAGGGATTTCCCCGAGCCCATATTCCAAACCATAATGAATCTAAATTTCCTCCTTAAAGTCGATCCATTATCCTGCCTATATAGTAATGCATACACTATTGGACGGTTAAGAGACAATGAGAACTCTGCTTTGTTAAAATAAAAAAACAACACGCAAAACTATTTTCCTAATTGGGCCACTTGAGGGAAAGCGTGTCAGAGCTGAAATCCATCATGCTGATTGCTGGCCTTGTCTTCATGAAGCCACATGGGGGTGGTGCTGCTGATGGAGGGGGACTCGTGGAGGGTTCATGCGGTTTTGGATTCGGCGCATGCTAGCTGGATCTCAGGAGAGAAGGCCGCACATAGCAAGGAGCAACTCATTACCTCGGTTAGTCATCATTCCCACTGTCCGCATTGGGATGATAAATGAGCTGGTCTACATGTGCGGCTGGGATGGTCATGTAGTTCAAGGTCGAAATGACATCTATCGGGGGGCTTGTATAGGTCGGGTAAGAGAGGAGCACTTTCCATATATGTGAGTTGTGTGGGAACGTGGACACACCCCGGAGTGGTGGAGCTGAGGGCCCTATATGAGAGAAGCTATTACAGAGGTTAATGTATTTGCCTATGGGGACATCTCACGGCCAAGTACATCTATTTCTCTGTTACTCTGGTTATGTGAAGTGACTTTGATTGCTTTACTATATGGTATGACATAGTTGTAACATACCAGGGCTAACATTTTTCATATAGAAGGAAACTAAGGGAAATGACATTGAAAATACAATATGACAGGTTGGTGAAATGGGTGGATAAATAAGCAGCAGTGAATCTTTAAATTAATTTTATATATATTATGCTATTACTAAAATGAGAATTACAGCAATTTTATACAACATGAAGTTTATGTGAAGACTAATTAAAATCGTTTTACTCTACTATGAGTCATGTGGATTATTACATCATTTTCTGGTGTTTCTGCAGATCGAGTGTCCAAAGTTTAACCGTAATATAGTCATAGCTATACTGCTGAAAAACAGTGACTTTAGAGCATTACATCTTATCCAAACATGTCACTTTTCACTTGGCTCTTTTGCAATCCTCCCAAATCCTCCTATTTTCCCCAGACATATTTATCTAAAGTAGTCAAGTGCATTATCGCGACAACTACCCTGTCAGCAACGTTCCCAGGTGCATCTGTTGTCTTATACTCCTCATATTTCATTTGAGTTTTTCTCCAATAAACTTTGGCAAATTGGAGCCATTTGCAGTCATAAATTTGTCATGGACTAATTCCCATCTGACTCAACCTTACTGCTGCGACACTGCACACCCGGACCTCTCCAGGAGACTGCACAGATTTGTTCACACAACTGTCATTTTAGTTGACTGATGTTGATTTAAGTAGAAGTGGCGAGAGGGGAGGTATGGCACTGTGTGTGGATAGCTTGGCACTTGGCAGACTTCAGATGAGGGGATGTCACAGCCCTTGGACTTTCTCTCACAAACATCCATAACCAGCAGCAGCAGAGCATGAATGGTCATTCAGCTCTCGCCAGCAGTATGAAAACAAGTCAAAGGGAGGAAGAGGAGGAAAGAAGGGGGCGGATGAAGAATGGCCTCTACGGCCAAAAGAAACATGGTGGGCTCCTCCGTCTGACTCTGTCCTGATGAGCACCCCAGGCAAATATTCTGTGAATGAGAGCATGGTTTTGAGGGGGGTATACTTCCATTTCACAGAAGAAAGAGGAGGAGTTGGATCAGAGGTGTCCCATTCTGATGTCATACATAATCAAGAATTTTAAATTAGTTTCAATGTGCAAAGGGTACGTCACTCTAGCCTTCATTTTGGTGTTTTGCTTAAATTACTTTGCTGGTTGTCCTCTTTTTCTTAAAATCAATAAATAAATGTCTCTACAAACCTCCAGGTAGTGATGAACTGATTTATGAAAGTTGTGCAATCCTATTCCAGTTGGAAAGCAACATTCTACTCTCAAATAACTGAGAACAACACAGCAATCTTATTCTTGTACCACAAGCATTTTTTTTATGAATCATTTGAAAGGGCACATTTTGGGCTGGTTAAGTGAGTGTATGACTGTATTGGATATGTCACAGAGAATCTCTTACAACGTGTTAAAGGAAAGCACTCCAAAACATCCTTTTAACTAATGCAATCATGTATTTATAGACAATACTGAAATCTCTTGATGTTGTTTGGCAATATACAGAATTACTTGAAATCTTTTTTGTATGTTTGAAAATAATTACATCCTTAGAAGTATATTTCACCACTGGTACAACTTCTCTCTAACACATCATATTTTACATAATAATATATTGTCGAGGGGCTAGCTGACGTGTGTGGGAAACAAAACCTCAACACAGCCCTTTGATCCCTGGCAGCAAAAACGCCATAACGGGGTGACTTTATGATCACTTAGAATTTATACTCATTGGACAAAACCGTGTTCAATACAACCAATTATCCTTTAAAATCCTGCTTAGACATTTACTCTCCTTCTCGTATGGCTGTAAAGTGAGCAACCCTATGAAGTTTGCTGTGGGTGAGATAAATACTCACAAGGGTTTCAATTACCTTTGAAGCAGCAGCTAATCATTGCTCTGGAGAAGAGTTGGCTCAGTGGCTACAGCTGGTTAACCAGAGGACGCACTGTGGGCTGGCTCTTGTCCATGAGGCAGGCTGGCACTGAGAGCTGAGAACACATAGGAGGGATACATTTTAGTTGGAAATCAACAGGATCAAATGCTAAGGTTCTACAGTATAACTGTCTTTGTATATGAGGTCAAAATGGCATCATGTATACTCAAAAGCCAATATATAACTCACTTCAGAAACACACCATCAAGCAGCAACATGTTTTCCTGTCTGGCAGCCTCCAACAATTACATATTGAATGTCCTTTCTCTGTTCTTTGATATATCACAGCCCTACGCTAAAATTTTATCACAATAAAGGAAAAAAAAGAAGAAAAAGATTCCTAAATATGAGTTTAGTTTTTGCTTGGTGTTATCATCATATTTTCAGTCAAGTTGAGAACATCTTTATAAAGAAAAGATAAAAATCCAGTCATGTTTTCATCTTGAGTCACTCAGTTTTATGTTCGTTTGAAAACTACACACAATCATCACAAGTCCATCTGACAAAATCCTTGGAGATGTGTTTTTCTAACCCCATTATGACCAATTAAAGGAGACCATACTGAGAGATAAGACCATCCAACTCCCTAGGTGGAGAGAGATGCTATCTGACTGAGTGGCTGAAACAAGACAACTTTTAAACACACACCACTGTTTAACTGAAAGAGATCCCAGTCCCACCAGTGCTCTTTATCTCCTCTGCAAGTCCCATTGGTGTCAAAGAGACCCTTGTGGTCCCCTTGGGCATCACTGGAGGTATTTTAATGGCTGTCTGACCCTATGTATCTCTAACCTGCTACCATAAGAAAGAATACACTCATTGTTCAGCACAAACAGCATCTAAGGAAAAGCAAAATGTCTCTTTTCCTATATAAAAGTGTTCTGCATCAACTCTTCACCCCGTGACCAAATCTGTACACTGCATCTTTCTATTAGTCCAATATGGAGGAATAGCCTGGCATGTGTTACCATTTTAATGGACTGTCAGCCCTGAAATGTCTTCAGTTTTTATTGTACTGTTTATATTTCAGTGTTCATTCTGTTCTTTAAAACACTTGGAGAAAGATAATGTCACTCACCTGCAACAGGTCTATTCTGGTACTTGCAGTTGTTAAGACATCTGAGAGAGAAGACAAAATGAAGACGATAGGTTAATAAATAGGGTTCATAATTCATAATAACACTAAAGCACATTTACTTAACAACTTGCTATGGGTTAGCTACAGTCATAAAATGTACAACAAAGGACATCAATGCCACAGAGACAGGCTAGTACACAAAAATATCTACTCAAGAATAAGGTGACTAGACGTCCCTATTTACTTGGGACAGTCCCAGTTTTGAGCCTGTGTCCCCTGTCCCAGCAGATTTTTCCAAAACCAGTGATTTGTCCCAATTTTATACAAGAAATGTCCCATGTGTCCCTATTTTTGACAAATTTTATAATTGCCAACAGTAAAAAGAGGCATAAATGATCATTTATTTAAGTAAAATACATAAAACGATACTTAAAACTCCTTAATTATGCACTCGTTTCACAATTGTATTATTACCAACCACCCCAAACCGGGGGTGTCCCAGTTTTTAATTGTGAAAATCTGGTGACGCTACTCCAGAAATACGGCCTTGTATTTACTGATACGTTTGTTTGTTTTTTACTGTTAGACTTTTATTTTCTGTATTCTAAGAATAGTGGCATAGTGATGATCACTTCAGTTAGTTGTAGCTCACCTTTAAAAATCCGTGGATCTCGTGGGCTGTGCGTTTGCGTCACCGCGTGTCATAAAGAGGATCATCCCGTGCGCGCGTACAACTCGCTCACTCACATAGTGGGACAGCCCGCAGACCGTGAAGCGTGCAGAGCGGCTCAGACGAGGATTACCTGGATACTACTGGCAGGCCACTTTATTATTTAAAAGTCGCGTTAAAGTTGCTGAAGCGGAATTTGAATGGAACTATTTGTCTGAACGACAGCCATGGCGCACCGGCTTTTTCACATTGTGCAAATACTGGTGATTTTGGAGTGCGGTTGGAGTAAAGTGGCACCGCTGGAGGAGGTTGGTGAGATAGTGCGTCCAAGTGAAGATGATTCACCGCAAGTAGAAAGCGCCAAACGAGACATGGTTTCAGTGAATATGTTCAAAGTGTACGAGAAGTACAGTAAGGACCCGCAGAGTCACAGCCAGCGGGATGGAAACACTGTGAGGAGTTTCAAAGCGGTCCCAGGTAAGTTTTCATTCATGTGTACGTATCAAGGTTTCGGTTTTCTCTCGTGTAGCCTACTTTTAAGCACATACACACGAATATTAGTTTCGTATAACACAAGATTTATCATTTACTACACTGAAACTGAATTCCAATTCACCATAACCAAATTATGTATGGTGAACGTAATACCAAAATTAAGGAGGGGGGGTCTTTATTCTTATCTACAAGGACTGTAAACTGTTACACTTGTTGTTAAACTGTAACACTTATTGTGTGAGGCAAATCATATCATACTGGTCACTAACACACTTACAGGCTATCACAGTAATAATAAATGTATTTGTAGAAGTAGTTTGTTATAGTAGTGAGGTCCAGTAAAGTGATTTTCTGCTTGTAATTTACTTTTACGTCAACATTTAGCCCACCAGTTTGATACCGGTTTTTAAGCCAAATGTTCATTGCTTATTTTTTCCTGAGGTTGTGGTGAAGTTAGGTATCATCATTTGTTTTAAAAAATAGTTATCAGTATTATAATAAAGAATAATAATAAGGAAACTATAGCTAATAAAATGCCAAGTGATCAATCCACCTAAACAAAACTGTCCTGTCATAAAATGTCATTGAACCAGTGTCCACCCAACAGCTGCTGAGTCCATCTCCAGTCACCCTAACTGGTCCATAGTGAGCATCTTCACCTCTGTGCCTTGTCACTATGAGATTTAGTGAAGTGGGAGACTGACGCCCCAAAGTGTGCTAGTTCACCGGTAGCAGCAGCAGCCTAGGTGTCAGACAAGAGACTATTATCACACCCAGACACCGGCTGTGCAGAGAAAAAGCCTCAGAGGAGCTCTTTCTGCACTAAGCACTTCCATATGCTGTGGACCCACTGGACAGATCCACTGTTTGTCTTTCAGGCTGCGGTGGAAGTGTGGGAGACAAGGTTGAACTTGAAGATTACAGCGATATAGGATGAGGTTTTGGTCATGCGTGAGGCAGCACTTAACCGGGCTGCCTTTAATTCTTTCCATGCTGTTGCTAGTGTCAGTCACAAGTGTGGGGAAAGATTTATTAGACTGTGATTCATGTCAGTCAGTTTGATGGGTGGAAAAAAGAGGGGAGGAAGGGGGCAACCTCTTCATTGTTCATTTCAGAGAGAATCCACCTTGAGGGCTTCAGATCATCTGTTAAACCAAACATCTGTATGGCCAAACCACTAAACGCATCAGTGCAACTCTGTCAAGTCACGAAAAGCTTGGTCCTTTGAATCTCATATTCTTGGTGCAATTATAGGATCATTCTTCAAAACACTGAGGATGTTTTGAAGCTTAGTATACTCCAGTGTGGGTTGCAGCATATTCAAATTTTTCCTCATAAATCTTACTTGGATTTAATGTCTTCTGGAATATATAATTGTTGTAACAGTTTGTATCTTGATTGAACGATAGCTCAATTTGGCATTTTGGTGCTTTTGTATGGTTTTGGTGTAAATTTAAGAAATAAGATCACAAATCACAATTCAAATTCCATGATTGAATAACAAGAAATATAGTTAACATTTGTCTTTTTTCACAGTTATGTCTCAAGGCAAAGAAATCTTCCTGTTCAATCTATCCTCCATCCCGGACTCCGAGCTCATCCTCTTGGCCTCTTTTCACTTCCTCCACAAGCGACCCCGGCAGCAGCAGCAGCAGCGAATGTGGCGCTTCCGAAGGCCTCGACACACATCTGAATCGCATCCTATCCATCAATCTCCGAGACTCCTCTTCCACGGATCGTCCTCAAACTCTGATTTTGCAATGCCACTGGGAAACATAACTCTTGGCTCGTTTAAGAAAGGATCTTGGCAAACTAGAGACATCACAGCAGTGTTGAAACATGCTAGGGATGTCAGGAAGCTTGTGATCTTTGCAGATTTTGACATGGGATATGCTCAAACACAACCTCGGGGTGCTTCTAACCAAGAACGTTTGTCTTCAAATAACGTACCCTACATTATGGTGTATGCAGATGACCAAGCAATTGATGAGCCAAACAGCGTTGCTTTGTCACTTCAGCGATATGGTCCAGCTTCTGTTGGTGATGATTCGGCAACAGCATCCAGGATTAGAAGAGAGCTTAACCTCCAGATCCAAACTAATGACATCCCAGAAGTCCAGTACAACAGTTTTAAAAATCATGAACTGTGGCATAACACATATTTTCCAGCCAAAGCTAAAACTGAGGTCAAACCTAGTAAAAAGCAAGGACAGGAGAATAGCGAGGGTCTAAGCAAGCCCCAGGTGCTGAGCTTTGATGAAAGGACGATGAAGAAGGCCAGGAGAAGACAGTGGAGTGAGCCCAGAGTTTGCTCAAGACGTTACCTAAGGGTGGACTTTGCGGACATTGGCTGGAGTGAGTGGGTTTTGGCTCCAAAGTCATTTGATGCTTATTACTGTGCTGGCACCTGCGGATTTCCCATTCCCAAGGTGAGAAACTTAAGATAGTATTTAAAAAATATATACCTGCTAATGCATTAGTTGCCAACATGTTGGCATTATTATTTTACTTTACTTAACATATTTCTTTCTGTTCATTTTATTTCACAACAATCACAACAGCAGAGGCCTTGCTGGTCTTGACAAAATTGTTGATTCAAGCAAAAAATCTTTAATAAAAATTTGTTTGTGTTGCTTTTGCAGGTGGTGCGTCCATCCAATCACGCCACCATCCAGAGCATTGTGAGAGCTGTAGGAATCATTCCTGGTGTTCCTGAGCCTTGTTGTGTTCCAGAAAAAATGAGCCCTCTAAGCGTACTTTTCCTCGACCCAAACCGGAACATGGTGCTCAAAGTTTACCCCGGCATGTCAGTGGATACTTGCGCTTGTCGGTAGGGCCACATGGGCTACTAGAACTATAGAAATGACTGGAATAAGGGTATACCAGCCGAAACCTCAAAGGATAACATGAACCTTTGGACATGAGTTTATTTCTCGGACATGCCCTATGGTGACTTCTATCCCTGTGCCAACTATTCACAGTTGTGTTTCATTAAGCAATTCTTCAATATCTCTTCAAAAGTGCACTTACAGTACTGTGAGTATGCAATGATCCGGAAGTCTTGGAACAGATTAGGTGGATAAGGCACACTTAAATAAGCTTCTTAGCATACTTTCCTGCCTCTTTTACACTGGGAGAGTTTTTTTCTTCTCTTCATTTGACTTGATTGCTTCTTTTAATCCAGGACTTTGCCTGCGCCATATAATTGGAAACACATTTGAACAACACTTGCCTAATTTAATGTTGCTGTTTGTAGTTTCAAATGGTTAGTACAAAGCCAATGCCAAGTTAATAACCTCTAAAATTATATTATACTGTAAAAATAATGCTTAAATGTCTACTTTGTTTTCTTATGTAGATTTATTGTCACCCCTCACACATAGTAGTCTGTGATTACAGAGGACACTTTGTTAGTAGAGCCTTTTTTTGTACTTGATTGTTTGAATCAGTTGTGTCACAAGCACATTTTAAGACAGTGTAGTGCTGCCCCCTACTGTCTATTTGGGGAATATGCAATGACATTGAAAGCATAATTGTGTTTATATATATCACTTTTCTCCATAGCAAATCTATTTGTGTTTAATTAAGGTTGTATGCATCAGTAGGTTAAATTTCACTAGATTTCACAAAACAGAGATCACTAGCAATGTTTATATGAAGTGTAGGCATATACTGTGAATGTAGGACCATTACTATGTGAGAATTTATTTTCAAACCAAGTTTAAATAACTTTTGTTCATATTTGAAAGTTTCAATCAATGTTTATTACATTTAAGATATGCAGAAACTAATAAGGTGTGTAATTTCAAAGGTTGCAAGTTTGAGTACATGTTTTTGTGGATGCAATTACATTTATTTAATAAAGCCTAACCCAGTAACTTTGGGCATTTTGGCCTTATTTATCAAGGGGAATTAAAGCACATTAGTCACATACACTCACATTTGGAAATCATAGTCATTCAGCGAGGACTTGCAAAGCCTGAAGAATCAAACACACCATCTTATAGCTGAGATGTTAACATTAACTACTCTGCCTTTTCAATTCAACATTTATAGTTTCCATATTGATTGGTTAACTCATTTCCGATACTTGGTACAGAGTGAACATATTCCAAGAAAAAATATTACAGATATCCAATAATAAAAACATCACAGAGTGACTGGAATTCAGGCCAGTGACACTAAACATTCTCTGGACCTCTAGAGTTTTGGCTAAAAATGTACAACTCAATCGATGAAAAGCTATTGCTTATGAATTATTTTTATATTTAGGGTGTATGGCATCTATATGTTTCTATATGTTTTTAATAATAAGAGATAGTTCAGATTTAGTATTAAAAAATATTGGACATGCTTTCATGAATAACAGATTTCCTTAAGGAATCTTGAATCTTGAATAATAAACACATTCAGAGTTGTGTCAGTCATCAAAAATTATGTTTTATTTCTGCTACTCCTGCGCTAACAATATCATTCTGAGCTGGGAAAAGAAGATGTCTGCATCATAATGATCCCACAGTTTGTAGTGCCTCCCTCATTATCACTGTCAGTGTTTACAAAGACTTCATTAGCAACTCACCCTTTATTGATAAACGGCCTAAAGAGGGTGATAAGCCTGGCTGAGCTACTATTTTGGTTGACACAAGTCCCTCTGTTTATACTAGGAGCATGGGAGCGGACATGACTGTGATCCTTGCAGTGATGCATTTTCAAACTGTGCCATTACAAAGTCACTTTTAATGTGTTTGGAAGAAGGTAACAGCTGCTAAAGATCGGAAGGTGAAGAGAGTTTTCGTTGAAAATGCTGAACATCAGGACATTCCTGCTCCAGTTCTGTTTGAGCCTTGTGGTTTCTAGCGGCTCCTGCAAGCCCTTAATCAGTGATGTTCAAACAGAAGACAATGAGGGACTTTACTCTCAGCTGACACAAGAGGAAGACACAAAAAACAGGATGGCAAATCTTTTGGGGACAATGAAAGAGGACTTTTTGCGGAAACTCAACCTGTCAGATGTTCCTCAAGAGGAAAACAAGATCACTCCTCCTCAGTTTATGATGGAGCTCTACAACAAGTATGCCTCGGACAGCTCAGTCATCCCTCAGTCTGATGTGATAAGGAGCTTCACAGTGCAAGGTATTACTTTACAACAACACAATGTATTTGTATGATAAATTCTGTGTATGAAAGAATTTACTTCGACCTTAGCCTTTCAGTATGTGTAAAATAGCCAGTATCCATTTAAAATTCCTTCCACCAATTCTTTGAGCTATGTTTTTTTTTAACATGCCCTTTGTTGTCTGTTCTGTAGATATATCACTGAGAGGGATTAATGGTACCAAGCACAAACAAAGGCTGATGTTCAACATCACCATCCCCAGCTATGAAAAGATCACAGCAGCTGAATTACAGCTCTTTTTTCAGGCACAGACAAGGTCAAAAGACTGTTTCCATGGCACTGTTAAAGTCTATGAACTGGACACTACACAACTTCTGGTGGGTAAAGAGGTGACCTGTTTGCACAGCAAGTGGGAAACATTTGATATCACTACATTTATTAAAAGCTGGATTAGGTCAGGCAATGAGGTCTGTGGGTTTGATGTGGTGGTGGACACAAAAGACTGTAAGACTTCTGACAATCATAAAAATACAGATGGATGTTTCAGTATGTCACTTAGTGACAGCACTTCTGCAGCTTTGATAGTCTTTTCAGATGACCTTGGAAGCAGAAGAAGAGAGGCAAAGAAAGAACTGAAAGAGATGATCATTCATGAGGAGGAAAGCATCCTCCATTCTGACACTGTTGTAGAAGAAAATAAATTATCCAATGAAATTATTGAGGCTCACCATCCAAGAAGGAAAAAACGAAAGGCGGAGAGGGAGTACTGTCGTCGCACCTCACTCAAAGTCAACTTTAAAGAAATTGGATGGGACAGTTGGATTGTTGCTCCTCCAGAATATGATGCATTTGAATGTCGGGGTCTGTGCTACCATCCTCTGACAGATGAGTCATCCCCATCTAAGCACGCACTAATCCAAGCAATAATGAACATCAGGAACCCTAAAAAGGCCAATATGGCATGTTGTGTTCCTATTAAACTGGACCCAATCACAGTTATGTATCAGGAGAATGGACGCCTCACTATAAGGTATTTGTATGAAGAAATGAAGGTGGCAGAGTGTGGCTGCAGATAGTTTCAAAGAGAGTTAACTCTGATGTTGGTCAAATCTATGCAGTAATATTGTATATATTTAAAATGTTATTAATGTATTTAGAAGTTATGTACAGTAAAATGTCAAGTTACATAATTGTATTGTATGGATAGTAAAACTTGTTTCTGCATTGATGCATATCATAATTAAATTAACCATGCCAATATGTAACAAGTCAGCTAAATAAATATTATTTTTGTTAAATGGTATATTATTTTATTCACGCTCCTCAACTAACTTGATTGGAAGCATTTTGGTGTTAATGGTAATAGCTTCAACACACAGCTAGAGGGAGACAGTATACTGTGTACAAGAGTAGCCTAACTCCCTTGACGTAAAGGCGCTCAGTTTCACACACTAACCTCATTTCACCCAATTTAATGTGAAATTATTACTGTACATTATTATAATAATTATTATTTTACATTTTACATTATTGTAGATTCATGTATTATATGACATCAGGTTGTTTGGCTTGTCTTTTTTCAGCCAAAAGTACTTGTTTTCTTGTTTGCTATGAATGTATTTGGTAATATTTAAAGGTGAAATTTCCATGCATGTGGTAAATATTTAATATTTTGAATTATAATGCCCTTATTGATTCAAATGTTGAATGAGAGCACTTACCGGTCAGTGGTTGAATGTTGACTGTTGACAGAATAACATCAGGTGAATACCAGTGTTCATGTCCCATCTAAAGAAAAGAGAATATAACTGATGCTTCATTTAACTACTGTCAATACTGTCAAACAGCTTTGGCTACTGAAGATTTGATATATTTATGTATGTTGACTGTGTGTGTGTGTGTGTGTGTGTGTATATATATATATATATATATATATATATATATATATATATATATATATATATATATATATATATATATATATATATATATATATATATAGTTAGCAATATATTGTGAACATTTTATATATCTGACTACCCATGCATTTGTGATTATATATATATATATCAGTTGAAATTGATTTCTGTTTTTGTCTTTCCTAAAATTTACATTTAGGGCTATTAGGAAATACTATATAATTTAAATAATGAACAATCTAACTATATGATCTAATTAATTTCTGTTTAAAAATAACATAATCACACATTTGTTTGTGCCTCTTGAATGCATTTAAGTGAAAATAATTATAATTAATTAAATCATTAAAGTTAATATAAAGGTAATTTAAAGGTAAATTTATCCTTGGAAAGACCATGATTTTGGTTTCACACTATAGAATACAAAATATACAGTTTGGATACAAAACAAATCTTGATTGACTCAAGTATCCTTGTATGTTCAAAAATACCCAAGTTAAAAAAGGCAGGCATATTTTTGTCCACAAACACCTTTGTTACTACACCTACTTGGCTAGGTTGATTCCTCAAGAAACACTCGGGATAATGCGATTACAGGTTTATGATGGAGCAAATCCTCTTATGTGTATGTTAACAGAAACCAAGCAGCCAAAACAGTGCCATTTGACTAAGAACGTCTTCACAGACGGAGGTTCTGCTTCCACAGCACCTTTTCTCTTTTACACAGGCTGTCAATATGTCAAAGGTTGTCTTTTTTATAGTTTCGTTGGTATTTTTGGGAAATGTTTTCTTTACCCAGGCCACATTTTCTTCCAGCCTCATGGTGGATATGGCAAAAATTGTCATAGACAATTATTGCACCCCAGAGAAGTTGCTTGGAATGAAGGAGGCAATTGGAGCAGCCAGCAGCAACACAGAGATCCTGAACATCCCAGATGCAGAATCCTTGGCTCGGGTACTCAGCGCTGGAGTTCAAGGCACAGTAAGTGACACGCGCCTGGAGGTTACCTATGAGCCAAACTATGTTCCTGCAGTTCCACAAGCGATGCCTCCACTTCCACCAGAGCAGCTTGTGGCAGTCCTCCAGAGCTCCATCAAGCTTGACATCCTAGAAAGTAACATTGGCTACCTGAGGATTGATCACATCCTTGGTGAAGAGGTGGCTGACAAGATTGGCCCACTACTACTTGAGTTGGTCTGGAATAAAATATTGCCTACATCAGCTCTAATCTTTGATCTGCGTTACACTAGCAGCGGAGATGTCTCAGGACTTCCCTACATTGTGTCCTATTTTACCCAAGCTGAGCCCCCAATTCACATTGACAGTGTCTATGACCGGCCGTCAGACACCACCACCAAGCTCATGACCCTGTCCACACTGCTTGGAGAAAGATATGGTACAACCAAACCTCTCATTATCCTCACAAGTAAAAACACTAAGGGCATCGCTGAAGATGTTGCCTATTGTCTCAAGAACCTAAAGAGAGCCACCCTTGTGGGCGAGAAGACTGCTGGGGGTTCAGTGAAGATTGATAAGATCAAAGTTGGAGACACAGACTTTTATGTTACAGTGCCAACAGCTAAATCCATTAATCCCATGACTGGCTCCACTTGGGAAGTTGTTGGTGTTAGTCCTGATGTTGAAGTTAATGCTGAGGATGCTCTGGCAGCTGCCATCAAGATTGTCCAATTTCGGGCCCAAGTGCCAGCTATTATTGAAGGTGCAGCAGTTCTCATTGCTAACAACTATGCCTTTGAAGATATTGGAGCTGCTGTAGCAGCTAAGTTAAACGGGCTACTGGCAAGTGGAGCCTTTAACCTGGTTGTGTCAAAGACAGACTTGGAAACAAAACTGTCTGCTGTTTTGGAGTTTCTTTCAGGAGGAAAGAGTCTAAAAACGTCCAGCAACACTCCTGCACTGCCACCAGTGGTAATTCTTGTTATAATTCAGTGGAAATAAACTGTAAGATTGTCTTCTGTCAAATTAATTAACTGATGTTTTTATTTCTAGAATTACTCACCAGAAATGTACATTGATCTAATTAAAGTCTCCTTCCAAACCAATATCTTTGAAAACAACATTGGCTATCTTCGATTTGACATGTTTGGTGACTTTGAGGAGGTCAAGCCCATCGCCCAAATTATTGTTGAACACGTATGGAACAAAGTTGTCAACACGGATGCTATGATCGTTGATCTTAGGTAGGTAATCCAATTTTACAATAGTTTGTAATGCTGTTTCCATTTTATGAACACAAATCACTAAAGCTGTGAAAGCGACTAAATATAGTCTAGCAGACATGTTGGGTGTGCTACTGCAATATACATTTGTAAGTAATGTTTGTTAAACTCAAACATCAACTCAACTTGAACTCACAAAAATGTCCTTTGCAGGAACAACATTGGTGGCCCTACTACAGCAATTTCTGGGTTTTGCTCCTACTTCTTTGATGGTGACAAGCAGATTGTGTTGGACAAGCTGTATGATAGAACCACTGGCGCCACTACCGAGCTTCTCACCCTTTCTGAACTCACTGGTATTTATGTCATTCTAATCTTTATCTTACAGTCACTGTTGACTTATTTTCCATCTCATGTTTTTCACCTTATCTTCCAAACCTTTCAGGCACGAGGTATGGGCCCCAAAAAAGCTTAATAATTTTGACGAGCCGAGCAACAGCAGGTGCTGCAGAGGAGTTTGTCTATATCATGAAGAAACTTGGTCGTGCCATGATCGTTGGAGAGACCACTTCTGGATCATCCCACCCAGCCAAGACCTTCCCAATCGGAGAGAGTGGCATTTTCCTCAGCATCCCTACAGTGCATTCAGACACTGCTGCTGGACCAGCCTGGGAGGGGGCAGGCATTGCTCCACACATCCCCGTCGCAGCCAGTGGAGCTCTCGACGCAGCCCTGGGGATTCTCAACAAGCAGGTTGCCGGCCAGAAATAAAGCAAACCAACATTCACACAGGCACATTTATACTGGCATCCAAATAGTTTCAGGAATTAGACTTTAGAAATTAACATTACATTAGTTACACTGAGTCTTTCATAATGGCATACAGATAGAAATAGAAAAGACATTTTACTAACTACAGTTTAAACACATCGAACCTAAGTTTAATGTTGCTATTATTACAACTTCAAAAGACACTTACTAGAAAGAAATGTGCAGTTGTGTCTGTTTTTATTGACTTTTCAAAATGCATTAACTTTTGTGTATCAATTGGTGGAAAATAAAAAAATTGATGTTATAACAAATGGTGTCTAATTTCAGAGCAAATACTATATTAGTTTACCAACACCAATGAAATGTTGGAAATGTATTGTCAAGAAGGTGTGTGCTTGCTTTAAGGTGAGACATTTCTATATACATTTAGGGCTGTTTCCTTTTAGTTAGGCTAAGTGTTGAAAAGATACAAATAAAGAAAAGCCAAAAATATATGCTTTAGCATTATTAGAAGCCAATAACAAATGTAACCAGAATGTCCTGATCTTTTTCCCCCATTCCCAATTTTTAAACAAAATAGGCTTTTTAATTCAATATTTAGGCTATAATGAGTTCACATGGCTCACAAACCCTTTAAACATCAGGCAGCTTGAAGGAGGGAGGTGCAAAATGGGATGTTGACCCATTTTTTCGTCCTTCTCTCCTCCTCATGTTGAAATATGACACCTGGTCCATTTCAGGCAAGTCTGTCCCCCAGGCCCTCAGTTCCTCCAGCGCCAAAGCAGCTCTGCTGTACACAGCTTCTTTTTACTTTCCCTGAACAAAACCAGCATCGACATTTTGGATGACACGCAACTTAAGTGATCATTTTAGTTTACCTTTCTGGTAACTGGATTTGTTTCGTCTAGGTCATTTGGAACAACCTTTTTTATTGCATTAACCCATGTTATAGTCACCTCGTATATCGTCAGCACTCACTGATGTGGGTTGTCATGTTTGCGAGTTGAACTCTCCCACAAAGACAAAGTGGAAGCATCGCCTGCATCCTTTGTCTCCATCCGCGTCACATCAGCAGTGAGGTCACTTTTTGGAGACTTTTTCTTTTTGCTGCTTTGCGTACCCTCAGACGGACAAGCATGGCGAGACGCGTGCTGTTGCGTGTACCATTTCTTTTGGCGATTTTGGGATTATTTTTACTCAATTCTTCATCTGCAAGTGCCGAGCCGGAGTTGCCTGAAGAAGAGGAGGAGGAGGAAGTGGAAAGTTCATGTCAGGGAGCGTTTGACCTCTATTTTGTGCTGGATAAGTAAGTTGAATGTTAGCTTATTCACTTAAAGCCGGCTCCATAAATAAGCAACGAAAAGAATTGTAGCTAAATCAAACTAGTCTATTTTACCTTGTCCACACATAACTTAATTTCTGACAGTTTGTCTTACAATTCATCCGTTGTCCTTGTAGTTTTAATCTTATTATTCGAGAAAAAGGACATAATTTGACGTGCTAATGGCGCCTATTTTCACTTCAGAGGTGTTTCAGGTTTGCCGCTGCTGGCCGCGAGCGCATACTTTCGCGGGTGCGTTTGTGCGTCATCACGTTCAAGAGTGCATCCTACAGTTTGCTGAATAAGCGAAAGAGAATTTTATTATTATGCACTGTTTTATTTCAAACTCTGAGCTAATTTGATACACATTTTATTTCATACCGTAAAGGGACATTAACTCTCCTTGGTGACTTGTAGGCTACACTCTTTCATTCACTCTTGCACGCCCACATAGGAAAAATGCTGTGGTTTAAGCATTTTTTTTGCCCTGACCTTCAGACTCTGGATAAAATAAAATCCTAGGGAAACACAGGAATGGAGGTACTGGCTCTCCATGCTGCAAAATTGCTATTCACTTTAAATCTATTCGTTTAAATGGGAATATAATTACTGCCATCTCCACTGAGGTAAATCAGCGGACAATCTGTTTACTGCATAATAAGAGCCTTCACTGTGAGCAAAACACAAGTTAATTACAACCTGGCTTACAAACTGTATTTGCAGCCAGACATTTGCTGAATTGGATCTTTAAGTTAATGGGGAGGAGGTGCAAGCTTGGACAGGAAGTACGGAAAATGTGCTCAAGTGATTTATTGATTTTTTTTTAATACTGGTCCTTACAATGATCAAAGACAAAGAGAGAAATGATTCCAAATGGTGCATGCATATGTCATAGTAAAAGTTCAAATCATGTGAAATTCTTGTCCTATCTTGAACATGTTTCCTGGTGTTCCAACCGGACAAGCCACAGTTGTTCTCCAGATGTTGAGCTGCATTTGGCTTACACCGTGCTGTAAACACTGACACATGCTTCAAATAATGAAACATCCCCTTTTTTAAAAAACGTTAGCTGCCATTGAGCTATTGTTAACTTGTCTGTGCGCTCACTTAGGGGGTGACTAATAAGGACTAGCCAACCGTAGACTTCATACAGGAGGAAGCTCATTACAGATCTCCTATAGCCCACCTACCTGTGTTTTTTATAGAGATGTTATGTGTCCTGGACTCCACATTATGAGAAAAGGAAATTTCAAAACCTTTTAAAAAGATAAAGATGAAGAAAAAAAAAAAAACTAACTAAAGCCTTCTTGATAGTGAATATAACACTCATTGCTCTGCCTGGAATGTTCCACAGTATGACATTAAACAGCTCCAACTTACATTTATTCAATTACAGGTGGTTCTATAGCTCAAACATATGTAGAAAAACATGCATTCTGACTGTGAGCAGGGTTTCCTCTCCACAGATCTGACCTGTAACTTGGTTTGGTTTAGATTCCTTGAAGACAGAAAGGTTTATTACCGTACAATTATTTCAGTTAATCACTACAATCCTACTGGATAGTCTTCTGCATTTGCTGAAAGTAGTAATTTTAGTAAGTGCTATGTAATACAGCAGGCCACTTTGTCTAAAAGAGAGTAATTTATTAGCCAGCGCTGTATTGATTAATGGTGTCACATGCTAATCTGGTTATTGACATTTTACTTGGAAAAATTACCTTAAAGGGACTATCCATCCAAACAGTCAATGGCTAGCTTCTTCCTTTTGGTTCAAAATGATGTAACCATTACCACGGGTAGTGACGTAATCTGGTGCTTATTCTGTCTAGTCAACACTTCACAGCTCTTCCCAACCCTCTTTGTGGCTTTAAGACCATGGAATCTATGATGAAAATGGTGGAATTGTCATCTGTTTTAGCTCAATGTTATGTAAAGTCTATTTGGTTTGCAGATGGGATAGCTGTACCGTGAATAGGGAAAATGTTAAGAGTGGACCAGCAAAGAAGACACTAGTCAGTTTGCTCGTAAAGTCAAGTCCAGAAGGTTTTTATTGAAGTGAAGAGCACATTAGTCCAAACATGTGAGAAAGGATGACTCAGACATCGGAAGGGGTTAATGGCATAGAGCTATGATCATTTTGAAAGGGTACTACAAACTTATCAATGGCTACCTTCTGAATACTGCCTTAAAACATTATACAAAATGTATTTCATTTCTAAAAGATCCATGGTGGTAATTCAAAGACAGAGTAATAGTGACATGTGTGCAGTATGTTTCTTTCTGGAGGTGGAAAGTCAATTGCATGTTTCCACAGAAAGAGAAAATTAAAACAATTAATTGGAACATTCTCCATGGAGATAGTCAGGTTTTTATAGGCCACACTACGGAAGATTATAGCCAAAAGAACAACATTTCCATGGAGACAGGCAGGAGGTGGCCCTCATCCAGGCCAAATAAGTCAGGTGTGGATAGGCAAACCCGCTCACAGTAAGTTTTTTCAATGTAATTAAAACAACAAAATGAAAAACATTCTTCTATTTTAGCCTATTTTAAACAAAAGTTACATGTTATGGCTTTACGTAATTTGAGAAATATATAGAAAAAACATGCATTCTTACTGTTAATCTGGCCTGTAACTTGACCAGGTTGCATCACCTATGTATCTCCATACAGCTTATTGCCATAATGTGGAACATTATAGGCAAAGCAGTATCATCTCTAAAGAAATAACATCTCCATGGAGACAAGCAAGTGGCAGACTCTTCACCAGAAAAGTTACATAGTATATGTTTAAGGAGAATAATTGATAATGCATTTGTCTCTGGTAAACAACACTAATTGGATCTGGAGTTAGGTTGTTTTAACATACATTTTAACAGAATTTTAACAGAATTTTGCTTGCATACATTATCTTGTGGTAGCTTTCCACCGTGCCCTAGATTCATCTGTTCATTTTGGTTTGCAAAGTCTGAATTCTCGTGGCATACACTGTGGTTCCCTGGATGTATGCCTTTAAGCCCCATGCTGCTGCATATGGACATAGAAGGATGTGGATCTGCTGACTCAGGACAGGCGTGTCACTGCATGCTGTTTTATTTGGAAGCAAATGCTAGACCTTAAGTCCCGTTCATATGGACCATATGTAGTGAGGGTGAAGACAAACAGGTGACATGGTAATTTAGACTTTGTAATAACAATGCTGTCAGAATGTAAATGGAAGCTGTGCAGTTCTGTTCTGACAGCCTTCTCAATCTTGAACATGTATTTATACAAGTTAAGTCTCTATAGATTGAGGTTCAAAATGGCTTTCTTATATTCAATTTATGGAAATGTAGTGGGTCAGTTAACATGCTATGTAAACCAATTTGATGGATTTGTTCTGTCTGAAACGCCAGTGGTTGGATTGCATCTTGTTCAATATTTAGCAGTATTTTAGTTTAGTTTAGATTTATCGGTTTATTTTAACTGGGACCATGTGTAAACTCATTCATCTAAAAAAAAAAAAAAGAAATGTTTTACACCAGATTGACCTAGTTTCAATCTGCAGTCCCCAGGCAGGCTAACAAACAAATAGAAGTATCCAAACCATTATCAAACCATGCACTCTCCCATTCTTGCAATTGAAAATAGTCCACATTTCCACATTCAACATTTAAAATTCCTCAAATAGTGTAAAATTATTGTAGTACGAGTTAAACCCATATGTCCA